GCTAGGTCGGTTACGCGAACGTTATCGAAGTTTTCTGTTTAGGAGACGTAGTTAGGGAGAGCGGTTGACCACGAACTGCCCCAATACACTGATTAACCCTAGTGGTGACTGAAGGCGTCGCATCAGTACTATGTAGCGCATCCTCTTTCAAGTTCTGTCTAGGGTATCCAAGCCGGTAGACTTGTGAGAGCTGATAATTGCCTCAAAAGCGGAGTTAACGATTAGAAGGCAAAGCTCACTAGAATTAAGGTAGAGGTGGTCAGGTGCCGGATGAAGAAGAAAACCATGAGAAACGGCCCAGAACCCAAGAAACGGGATCCCTTTTTGTGCTGTAAATTCCGCACTGATGCGTGCCTACTTACTTACTCTCGTCGGTGCTGCCCTCTTCAACGTTAACCTCTCTCTGCCACCAGGCGAGAGGCCTGGCGAGTGGTAAGCCAGAGGGTGGGCGTGCCGCGTCAACAGCGGCGCGGGGACGGGGCATATCCTTCGCTGCGAATTGCGTGTCGGTTCGCATCTTTAGGGAGTTCGCCTGTTTCTCCACCAGCCAATGTTCCCCTTCTTCACCTTCCTCAACATTTGGCCTTGTCAAGATTCTTCTTAACTTGGAGCCCCTCGGCTCTGCGATTCAATCAAGTGCATACCTTTTGAATTGTCCTTGTGATTACTGAAAGGATATCCCAAAATACTTGGGCAAAATGAGGCACTTTATTACTCAACTGCTGCGTTGAAAAATGTTTTATTGGTAATAAAAAGTTGTTATTGAGTACAAAAACAGTATTTACAATGAGAACCACAACAAAACCTCTATTAGAGCATTATTAATGTTATTAATAATATTAATGCAAAAGCGACCCAAACCCTTGTGAAATACATGTTACTGGATGATCCACGATTAACCTGTTCTGTGGTTAAATTCACCGACGAAAGTGGAGCTGGTGTGGGAATCACGTCCACCTCTTCCAAAACACCTAAAATCGTGAAGGATTAAAGATGTGATCAGTCAAGGGGAATGGAAATCATAAGGAATAGGCGAGCTGGTCAAGCGTTTTCAAGAGTCTAACAAAATGGTTTGATCGCACTGGTTGAAGTCTAGTTCGATTGGATTGAAATTGCTCTACTGTGTAGGGCAAAGAGCACTCACAACAGGTGATTAAAAGCGTGGCGCTACCCTCATACAAGAACCCCAGAAATAGCCCAGTTTCAATAGAGCTACTCTAGGTAAGCGTACAAAAGGTATTGCTCAATAGACAGCATAACCAAGGGATTAAAGAAACAGTCCCAGCAGGGTGGGCGTGGTCGGGAACGACTGCAATCC